TAAAATGAATATACCTATTTAACCTGTGCCTGGATCAAGAACCTAAAGAGGCCCAGTATTCCATAAGCTTCCCTCTTGCTCCTTTTGTTTACTTCCTAAGAGAGATCACTTCCCTGACCTCTGATAGCATTGACTAGCTTTTCTAATTTTTGTACTTAATATAAATAAAAACGTAATCTGTAATGAAAACCTCACGTGAAGTATCCAATGCTACATAAACACCAAAAAAAAAAAACTTAATGATCTAAAACTTAAAGTCTCACCTTCGTCCTCATCACTCCTTGCAGCTGTACTTTCTTTTGTCCATCTTAGTACCAAGCTTCTTGAGACCTTTCCCCACGCTCACTGTCCCCATGTCCTGTCCTCCCATGACTACCTTCAGTCCACTGCATCCGTCCATGTCACCCACTGAAACTGCTCTCATCGAGGGCACCAGTTACCTTTTTGTTTTGGAGCCAATGGACTTTTTCCAGTCTTTTCCTACTTGATACCTCCACCCCACACCCATTCCTTAATTCAATGAATCACCAAGTTCTAGTAATTCACTCTCTTTAGCTTATCATGTATTTGTCCTGATTCTTTCTCCACTCATTGTCTCTTGTCTGGACTGTTCCAACATCCTCAAGTCTTACCTCCCTGTCCTCAAGCTGCTCTTCCAGACTTATCATTGCAAATACTTTTCCCTAATTAAAAATGTGCACTACGACCAGCAGGTGGCATGGAGGTTAAGGTGGCAGGTTCTTCTATGGTCAGCTGCACAGATCAAGTCCTGAAACCAGCTTGAAAAACTGTTCATGCCCGGGAACCAGCAGTTAGCGTAATGGCTATGTTGCTGGACTCCCACGTAGTCTACCGCGGTTTGCGTCCTGGACCCGGTGACTTAAAACTCAGGCTGGGTGCGTGTGCGTGCGTGCCCAAGATCCCGAGAGGAGAATGGAGAAGGGATTGCGGCGTGACCATCCCCTCCGGGGGGTGATTTCTTGCTTTCTGTCTCTCTGTCTCTCTCTCTCTGACTTTCTGGCGAGCACATGCGCCCTATAGCAAAACCTCTCCAAAAAAAAAAAAAAAAAACCTGTTCATAAACCTGTTCATGCCCAACCACATGGTTTTACAGAGGAGGTGGCATTAGAGAGAAGATATAAGGAATGAGTAGGAGATGTACAGGGAAATAATGGAGTGAAAGGCATCCCAGGTACGAGGGGACCTCCTAGCAGAAATTCCAAGGGCAAGTTCACAAAAGGCTGTGGGTTCTGTAAGGCCAACACATAGGGTGTGTATTAGGCGTGTGCATGTGTGCCCTAACTGCGACAGGATGGAGAAATTGAGGAAAGACATGGTGGCATAATTCCACCTCAGTGGGTGGTGCTTTCTCCTGGTCTCTCTGCTTTTCCCTTTCCCTTTGTCTAGCTGTTTCTCTATGGTGAATAAATACGCCCTCCTCTGGCAAATAAAAAAACACAAAAATAAAGGGAGATTGGAGTAACAGGTTGAAGAGTCTTTATGCCTTATTATAGTTCAGATTTTATCCCATTTGGGGTAGGAGGGCAGTAGTGCAGGTTTTGTTTTCATTTTTGTTTGTTTTTAGTTTGCTATAATGTCCATGTATCATATATATATATTCCACTGAGGTGGAATTATGCCACCATGTCTTTCCTCAATTTCTCCATCCTGTCGCAGTTAGGGCACACATGCACACGCCTAATACACACCCTATGTGTTGGCCTTACAGAACCCACAGCCTTTTGTGAACTTGCCCTTGGAATTTCTGCTAGGAGGTCCCCTCTTACCTGGGATGCCTTTCACTCCATTATTTCCCTGTACATCTCCTACTCATCCCTTACGTCTTCTCTAATGCCACCTCCTCTGTAAAACCATGTGGTTGATTGCTCCTTTTCTGATCCTGTTTACAATGACCAATATTTGGATGAAGAAGTATCATTATTATAATATGTCTGGCGTATGCCCCCCATGGGATCTTTGGATTTTTTGGCTGATATATCCAAAGATCCAATAACCGTGCCTGGTACATAGGAGGCGCTCAGTATATACTCAGTAAGGGCATAGATGGGTTCACCTAACATTAACTGAACATGTGCTTTGCCAGGCACTTTCATTCTCATTCCATCTTTCTTTCCCACAACCCTATGAGAAAGAAATTGTTTTCATCCTAATTTAGTATGGGAGGAAATTGAAACTTATCAAGATTAGGTCATTTGTGGGGTTGGCAGGTGGTGTGGTGGTGAAGGCACAGGACTCCTACATGGCCAACTGCAGGTCGAATCCCAGACCTGGAGGCTTACTTTCTTACTTTCCCTCTCTCTGTCTCTTTCTGGTTGAATTAAATAATAATAATAATAATACGTAAAATTAAATAATTCTTTAAAAGATTATGCCATTTGTCTAAGGTCACAGAACTGATATATAGCAAAGCTAGGATTTGAATCCAGGTTTGTCTAAGTTCTAAATAACTCACTTGTCTATCATTTTTGAGCTGTTTGCTATGGAGCTTTTGCACATGACTGCTGTGGATTACAGTAGGTCTTCAGCCAATGAAACTGTTATCCCAAAGTAGTGGAAGGATCTCTTTACAGATCTCTTCATTTATGTCTTCACTCCATTATTAGTCCCCAGAGAATAGGTTCTGTTTTATTCTCCTCCTCCCTCACAAAACCCTGAGCAGCCAGCACAGTGTCTTACACATGTTTGTGTTCCCTAAATGTTTATGGAATTAAATAATGGGCGTGCTGTTCAAAGGCAGCATTTGGCCATCCATCCTTTTTGCACAATCAGTAATTTTGAGTTCTGTCCTGCTGGTTGCCCTGAATCCAGGCCCAGCTGCTGCCTGTTCTAACTCTTTGCTTCTTCAGCACGATGTACGCTCAGGGCCATCCTTGGCTGACCCACCCACCACCCTGACCCCAGCCCTTTGCCATCCTTCCTGTCCTCCTGAAATTTCCCTGTCTGTCTTCCTGCTCTCGGCAGCCAATCGTGCAGAGCAAGTAGTGTTCCACCCTCTCCTCTTCTTGACCCCACACCCTATTTGAACCTTGTTGCTTCCCTGGTCATTCTTGACAGGCAGGGCAGCATGACATTTGTATAGATAATTCTAACACAGAGCGGATTGTGATAAACACAGAAAGTCACGAGGCGCCGTAGGAGTTGTGAAGAGGGAGACTTTCCTAATTAAGTGATGGGGGAACTGTAAATGCATTTAGTCACTATCTTTTTTATCCTGATTACCCGGTTTTGTTTTTCTTTGTTTTGCTCCTCAAAAGAGTTTAGCTTTTCCAGGTCTGTCGATTATTTAAGATCATTCATTGTAAATAACAGAAAGCAGTTTGTGCTAAAAGGAGAAATTTATTATAAGAATACAAGAACTCAAAGGTTAGAATGTAGCCAGACCTCAGGGAGAAATGGAAGCAAAGCCAGACAATAGCTCAGGATCTGGATGGCATTCTCTTTCCATCTCTTGACTTCACTGTCTGTATATCTGCTTCACTTCTGTGGTCTTCCCTAGTCCTCAGACCTCGTCATGGCGCATGTCTGCCAATGGTGACAGTTTATACATGAAGACATTGGCTGTCTCTGTCAAAATCACGATCTCCAGGGACATCTCTCTGACTGACTCGGCATGAGTCAGCTGTCCACTCTGGCTCAGTTATCACCAGTGAGCAGAGGGATAGGCAACATGGGTGCCAGATGCCTATCTCTGTGGAGGAGGAAGTAGAGGGATCATTTTAAGCTGAGCAAACTCTTCAGAAATATCCACTACACTTGGTTCTCTTGTCTGGTAATGCTCTTGGAAAAGAATTCTGGGTGCTTTCCCAGCATAGGAGCAAATTCAGAGGCTTCCTATTGGAAAGTTCTTTTTCAGAAACAAATACATAAAAATGTATTGCCATTCAGCATACATCATCCTCATTAAGATGACTCGTTGGTAATTCCTGATAGCTTTAGTTTGCCTTTGTTTGTTTTTTAAAGGTTGAGAGAGTATGTGCAAGCAAGAGTGTGTGTGGGGCGCGGGGGGGGGGGGGGGG